AAGGTTAATAATAACACAAGCATGGTTGAACAGAAGAATGAGAAGTTGGAAGACTTTGAAAATGGGGTTCAAGATTCAGAAAAGAACGAGCTAACGTTCTTTAAAGGGTGCTCTTATAACTTTGATCTTGAGGATCTGTTAAGTGCTTCTGCTGATTTTCTTGGTAAAGGGAGTTATGGAACTGCTTACAGAGTTTCGTTGGATGAGGTATCGATGATAGTTGTGAAAAGGCTGAAGGAAGTAAGGGTTGTTAAGAAGGAGTTTGAACAGCATATGGATATTGTTGGAAAGATTAAAAGGCACCCAAATATAGTGCCATTTCTTGCTTGTTATTACTCAAAGGATGAGAAACTTCTTGTTTGTGAATACGTCCCTTATGGTAGCTTGTCATCCGCCTTATATGGTATAAGCTGCTTAACTCTTCTTATTTAAAACTTCACTTAGCACAGATCATGTTTGCTGCACATTATGCTATTGATAATTATTCCATTTTCTGCTTTATGCTTACATGGTCTTAGCTTAAATGGAGCGACATGATCAGTGGTGATTCATATAGCCGAGTAGTAGTAGTTGTTGTTGTTTCGTACTGTTACATGATCTTGTTTATAAATATATGCCTAGTGTTAACTTGTCAACAGCCTTGCATGGTATACAAAAAATTATACTTTTTATACATGATCAAAATTACTATTTATGTATATATAATATTAGATGTTGAGCCTCCAATGAGTTCTACGTATTTTGAACCTCCTAAGTGAAAATCTTAGCTCTGTCACTGACGGTATATATTGTTCAGCTCTGATTTGAACTGTAGTGTCATCTATCAGTTGCTACAGATTGTTAATGATTGATGTTTTGGGGTTTATTCTTACATGATATTGGTTATAGCAGGTAACGGAAGAACTCGACTAGACTGGGATACTAGGTTGAAGGTCTGTCTTGGAGCAGCAAAAGGAATAGCTCATATCCACTCTGAAGGCGGAACGAAATTTACTCATGGAAACATCAAAGCATCCAACATACTTCTTACAAGGGACTTAGATGGTTGCATTTCTGATTTTGGCTTAAGCCCTTTAATGAATCACACATCCATCAAGAATAATAAGGCTGTTGGTTACCATGCTCCAGAAGTGATTGAAACGCGAAAAGGCACACAAAAATCAGATGTTTATAGCTTTGGAGTGTTGGTTCTTGAGTTGCTCACTGGGAAATCTCCTCTGCCATTGCCAGGGCACGAGGACGTAGTCAATTTGCCTAGATGGGTACGAGCTGTTGTTAAAGAGGAATGGACAGCTGAAGTTTTTGATGCAGTGCTGATGAAGTACCATAATATTCAAGAAGAGATGGTGCATATGCTTCAAATTGCACTTTTATGTGTAGCAAAGGTGCCTGACATGAGGCCTTCAATGGGTGAAGTGATTAAAATGATTGAGCAAATCAAACATCTATAATGAGAGACAACATCTTCCTCAACGAACAAATGATCCATCCAATGCACATTATCATGAATGAACCTAAAAGTTTCGATTGATTTGGGAGATCGAATGCAATAATATGTCCTTGAATTAGATAGTGTTCTACCACGAGCTCTTCTCCTCGTGCTAGTCCAATGCTACAAACACAAGTAACAGAGTTATAATTTGTAGCTAGGAGTCCTAATTGTTGTGTGTTTATATGTATTTCTATATGCCAATATATCCTCGAATAATGAATTAGAAAGCATCATTTATTCTCGAGCAAGTATTCTTCATGTTCTAATATGGTATCAGAGCCTTCAACGAACTCGTTCTCCAAGTCATCAATTATGAGAATACTTGATCATGGCTCAAGATATTGGAATGTTCAATTTGATGAAAGTTAATGATACATACTACCAGTCTAAACTAAGGCCCCAATACACCAAACTGTCCTTTAGTTTGTATAGAATATTAAGGAACAATTTATGTGCCTAAAATATTTTATTTATGGGATAGTTAATTTTTAAAATATCTTTCAAGACACAATTTAATTATGGCTTTGATTATTTATTCTTCAACAAAAGGCAACAGATGGTATTTTTCATGTTAGGATTACTAGAACTAGTTTAATAAAATATACTAATTAAATCAGGTGTAATGATTCTTCAAACCATCCCAAAAATTTAGTCTTATTAATTCTATTAAGAAACAATTAGTTAGTGTGGATGTCCACTACTTTAAAAATAAATTCTCCATTATTTTTCACTATTAAGATATTAATATTTCACACCTTTGTAATTTTATCCTTTCGTCATTTTTGTGATTAATGTCATGTTATCATAACTTTTTATATGCTTCTGTGAACACTAAAAATAAAAGTATAAAAACTCATATTGTGATTTTGTAGATACTTGAGAAACACTTTGAATTTTTATTTTTATTAATCTTATGTTATTCCTCTCAATTTTATTTTTACATTGTGATTTGAGCTTGATTTTACAAAATGTTATTTAAGACTCTTCTTTAATTATTGTGATCATGGCATTCAAATTTCAATGAGAGTTTGCAAAGTGGCTAGAAAATTTTCTTTTGTGGTCTCAACTTCTATTGACGTGATAATCACTCATTTGACAGATTCAAGTAGTGCATCTTATAGCTTTTTGGCTGCCATAAGTTAGGAATTCTACTAACTTACTATGATTTTTGTTTATTTCTATCTTTTTAGTAAAAAAAAATGCTTAACAATATATAGATTTTTATTTTATTCAAACATTACAAAAAGATTTTAACGTTATTTTAGCTTAAAAACACTTAAAATAAGTCAATTCAAATATGCTCTTAAAATTATCTATGATAGGTGAGTAAATCAATATATGCTTCTGCTAAAAACCATATATCAAATCTGTCAATTTCTCCCTAATACTACGTTGGCAATTTTGTTTTCTGATGGCATTTGTTTGGCTTCAAATTATTTTATTATTGTTTTTATAAAGTCTGCGTACATTTTATCTTTCTCAGACATTCTTATAGGATTTCACTGGATATTTTATTATTGTTGAGGAAGGTTATTTGCAGGTATATTACATGAATGTTCTGCTTTAGGCATGTAGAATTATAATCATAATTATATTATGGTCCATATTTATGTACATGATTAGTTGCTTCTTTGAAAGCAATCTTGAGGAATAATAATTTTGTGGATGTATAACTCCTAATTTCTATTGATAATTGAGTGAATTGTTGGTTAGAAGACCTAACCTTGCGAGAGGTAATACTTATTAATTGAGTATTGTGCACTCTTATCGGACAATATCTTTTTGAAAAAGGGTTTAAAATACTTTTAAAGTATTGAAAATTGTACAAAATTATCCTCCATCGACTTATTGGGGTCAAAATACCCTTCTCACCAACCTATTGAATCCAAAATACCCTTGTCATCCACTTTTTGATTCAAAATTGATCACTTATTTAACGATTTTATATTTAAACTATTTAAATATTTTTTAAAATACGTGGCGCTCAACTATTTATTATAATTTAACTTATTAGTATAATTTATAAATCAATCCACTACCTACTCATTACTAATTAAACCCCTCCAAATTAATAAGTCCGTCACATTATTAATGCAACAACAGAAAAGATACTGCCAATTGAGTGTTTTTAAAAATTTGAGGCGAAAATATGTATAGAAGTAAAAATTATCATACATTCAAGTGTCTAAATAAAAATTACTAATAAACTTAAAAGTCTGACTATGTTCATCTTAATTATTCTTACGTCTCAATTTTGTGATGTTATTTCATAGGTAACTTTTTTTCAAAATAATATATTAAAGGTTTTAAAACAAATCATAAATATTTATAAAATTATATTTAAAAAAAGTGCATGAATTAATTCGGGATGTATTACTTCTTTATCTTTAATCATAAATTTCTAATTCAATCTTGAAAGAGAATGCTATTGAAAGTGTTCTCCTAAATAAGCAGCTCAACCTAAATCTAATTGAGCTTCGATTCAGACTTGAATAATTTTGGATGTCATTTTCAGGAATCTATAATTTCATCTTGTTTTAGTAGTGTTTATGACGATTTTGATATTGTAATTGGATTATTAATTGGGTAGGGTTTAGTTAGTAATGAATGGGTAGTGGGTTGGTTTAAAAATTAAATTATAACCAATATTTGAACGCTAATTATTTTAATTTTTTTTAAAGAGTTTAATTTTAAAACAATTAAAGAAGTGGTCAAATTTGAACAATAAATGGATGAAAAGGCATTTTGGAGCCAATAAGTGGATGAAAAATAATTTTATACCATTTTCGATACTTCAAAGATATTTTAGACCCTTTTCTCATATCTCTTTAACATGTTCTTATAGTTTCTTTATTTAAATGAAATCAAATTTGATATGTAACAACACATTTGTGACGATTGGATTTTTGTGAGTGCCTTCATAGTAAGCTCTAATCAAATATTGGTGGAGATTTATTTTTTTCAGAATAGTGGACATAACAAAATAATACTAATATTGTCCTTCTAAGTAAAATAATAAAACAAAAAAGACAACGTTTTTTTGGGTCTATTAATTTACCAATTGAATTTTCACCAGAGTACATGAAAAAATTGGCCCATGCAGGTCCCGAACCTGCGACCTTCGCGTTATTAGCACGACGCTCTAACCAACTGAGCTAATGGGCCTTGTTGGTACAACAAAGGTGAGAATATATAAATATTAAGAGCACTATCAATTATCATTCTTTCATTGTAGTTTTCAAGTATAAAAAGTAGAGAATTATTAGGAGAAGATTGTTAGGACCCGAGTGAAGATTAAATTGATTAGTTATATTTCAATTGAAATAGAATTATTAAAAGAAAATCTATTGATTTATTTTTCAAACTTTAAAGCCTTTACTCAATTTTCACTTTAGGTCACTAAATAAGCTTGAGTAGTTCTTAATTAACGTATTGAAAAATTACTTGTTAATGTTATAATGAGAAGAAACATGAAGTAAAAAAAATGAGTGAACAAGAGATTAAGTAGTAGATAAGCTAAGGTTGAACAGTTTCTTATAAATTTAACTTGACTACACATGTTTATCATTGCACATATGCAAGTAAATAACCACATTGACATATTAATTCCTCAATATTTTATTGTCTTTCAATTGTTCAATTCTATTAATACTTGGGGAGTTAAATCCCCTTTGCAAAGAAGAGTAAACCACACTCTATAGTATATACAAGTTGGAAGTATATGAGATGTGAGTATGTCAATCAGTATTGCACCCAATAGAAGAAGCCACCTTGATAAGCAATCCAAATAACAAGAGTGGAGCAGAGAAGAATGGGCTATGATCACTTTCCAATGTGTACACATTCTTTGGAGGCCATTTCTTAATCATTGCATCTTGCTGTTCTGGCTTCACCACTCGATCGTACGCTGTTTTTATGTATATTCTAGGCACTTCCTCTGCACCTTCCCCTTCTTTAAATCGAGCACTAGCTAAAGCTTGAATTGGTCCAGGACGCAATAACATGGCTGCTAATGTTGAATCCTGTAACAATAATTTCATTAAATTAGTTGAGAAACCGTTGAATTACTATCCTAACGAATGTATTTATACCTCGATTGGACTCATTTGGTAAATGATTTTGCGTTGTAAACTTGTCTTGATGACTGCACTGGTTGGAGGTTGCTCTACTCCTAATCCAAAACTCATGTCATATACATCAATAGCTTCACCAAAATCAGATAAATCTGGAATACCCTGTGTTAACAAAGATAATAAACGCCTTAATCAATTCACATATCAATGGGGAAAACATAGCCTTTATAGTTTATAATTACAAATAGTTAACATATTCAAACTGAAAAATATTACTACTTATATATCTGGCGTTTATTTCTATTATTAGTTTATATATATATATATATATATATATATATATATATATCATTATCCTTTTCAATCAAAACCGCTGATGAAATTTCACCCAAAGTATTTATTTTCCTTTCCTAATTTTAAAAATAAAGAATATATACTTTTTTGTGAAATTTATTTTTTATTTTAATAGTTATTTTTTTATATATCTTTTTGTTTTAAAAAAAATAAATAAATTACGCACTTAATGCGTTGATATTTGTGTAGGATTTTCATTGTTTAGTGCGTTTTTTCTTAAAATACAAAGAAAGTGTATAGAAAAAATAGTCATAATATAGAAATGTTCACTCTAATTAATCAAAAAAATATATATTCCAACTCAAAAGGCTTGTAATATTAGTGTGAAATAGGAGTAGTTTCCGTGGTCAAAGGGCCCTAAAACTAGGAAACAAATATTATAAATTATATTTACACAAATTAGAAAAAAGAAGTATAGCACCAGTCAGGTGTAGCATAGTGATCAACTAAGCTAATTGAAAATCACGAAATATCATATTTTAAATTTCAACAGAAGTAAATACTAAAATAATTTATTTTTTTTTTCATCTGTCTAACCTCGAAACTAACACGGTTATTAAAAAAAATTAATAAATGAACAATAGTCCAGGTAGTAGGACAGGATGATGTAATAAGGCCGTAGAAGCAGCCCAAATAAGAGCTCTTACAGGCAGGGCCAAGGCCTAGAAGAAGAGAGATTCTGGCGGATAATGCCACAAATGCTACATTTAAATATATATAATATGAAAGAGACTTATACTATACAAATAGACAATTTTGTACTAATTTTATTTGTATAGCCTGCACGAATGACGCAGATTTCTTATACTACAGCCAAAATATCCCTCTTTCTTTTTAACTTTTTATACAAACATATCTCACCATACCTCACCCCACCTATAAATTTCTCGTACAAAAAATTTCAAAATTCATAAACTTAAAATCTCAATTACGATCATGATCAAGGATGGAGAAGTAATAACTTACATCTTTAACATCTTGTTCAGTCACAAATCCATTTCTCAACATAGTTGCTCCAATATACACTGCCATCCTTACTTTTTTGGGAAATTTGTGAGTTGCATCTGTGACACTAAGTCCTCCAGCACTGTGTCCTACCAAAATTACCTAATCATGTGCACAAGTGTTAATAAGTCTGTTATACGCAGTCTTACCTTAAAATAGATTTAGATAGATCGTAGGATCGAACCTGTTCATTTAGAGGCAAAGATGATAAGAAATTGATGAGAGGTTGATTATAATCATCAAAGGAAATAATAGTGGTAGGATCATGAGGATGAATTCCAGCACCTTTAAGGTCAAGACATGTAACTTTATAACCTGAAATCTCCATAAGTGACTTGATTTTGTACCAACACCATCCACCTCCACTAATTCCATGTATTAAAACAAAGTGGATTTTTGACACTTGTTCTAAATTTTCTTCCATTTTCTCTTTTTCTACAAAGTACTCTTCTCCCATCTTGGATTTCACAAAAAAAAAAATCTAAAAGGTTTATATAAATATTATGTATATACTAGTTGGCCTCTCCTTGTTCACTAATTTCAAAGTGGAGAAGGAAGGAAGAAACTTTTCCCCCCTAATTTGTAAGTGACATTGTTTTGCTCTTTGTCAACATGTAGTTGGGATAGTCTCTAATGTCATCATATATATATATATACTATAATAAATGTATTTTACTGTAATTTGTAAATGTTGATGATTTAGTAGATTTTATCAATGTTGGACCAAGACAGCTGGACAAACCATTTAAGTCAACTTAATTTAAATAGTTTTTAAAAATTTTGAGTTAAAAAAAATAAATTTATGATGTAATAATATATATACTTCCTTCTTTCTTTTAATTGTTATAATGTCCTAAATAAGAGTCTATGAAATTTGACTAACATTTTAATATAATTTAATTTTTAGCTTTGAAATCAGTTAATTGAGTGTGAACTTTGATCAATATTTTAATATAATTTAATTCAACTTTGAAAATCAGTCAAATTGAGTATGAACTTTGACTAATATTTTAATATAATTTAATTTAACTTTGAAAATCAGTCACTTTGGATATGAACTTTGACTAATATTTTAATATAATTTAATTTAATTTTGAAAATCAGTTAAAACTGAGTATAAACTTTAACTAACATTTTAATATAATTTAATTTAACTTTGAAAATTCATCAAATTGACTCTAAAATGCATATCATAACAATTAAAGAAAATGGAAAGAGTATAATTCTACTTGTTATTTCAGTATTTGAAAGAGATAGAATTAGTGCTATGTTGCCTAGACTATTCCCACTTTGTAATGACTCTTAATTATGTTTAATGAATAACTTTTTTACCACCAAAGAATTAATAATATAATCCTAGCTACTTATACTATATTCTAAAATAGATAATTAATTAAATTTTTTCCACTAGAACTAGTTATGTCCAAGAGACAAAGGTATACAGACGTGTACCAATTAAGAGTTTTTAATCTAACTTAATTTATTTTTAAAAATTAATCAAATTTATTTTAAAAAACAGCAGCATAATAATTATAAATCCTTTTTTTGGTCAAGGAGAGTGAAACTTAAATCAATTCCTATCACTTTTAATCAAAGG